ACAAACTCTTTCAAAATTGGATGGGTTAATGATACATTTGTTAATTCATTTTGACTTGTTCAATACAATCCATCTACAAATTAAAAACCATGCTAAAGTATTTTTTTTATTTTTCTTTGATATATTTTGTTCAACTCTAAGCAATAACAAATAGAGAGAAAATTATTAGGGAATTAAATAAATTATAACAAATCAATAAAGAAAAAGCCCTAGCTAGCTATTAGATAAAGTCAGATAGTTATAACGCGTTTAAGTCTAATATAAATGAAGCAGAATAAAAGATTTGTAGGATTGACGTGAAAGACAAAAATGACTATATTTCTGAACTGATTCTTCCCCTTCAAGAGGGATTCTCATGTCCATTATAGTAAGACAAACTTTGTTACTCATCTCGAATCAAATTAGATAAATAATTTTTTATTGATTTATGAACAGACCCTTCTATTTGATTTTATACTTCTTCGAGTACCTCAAGCACCTTCTACAAAAAAAAAAAATAGGGCAACCAACTAGAGTTTTCAAATTTTTAATAATATTTTTACATTAAAAAAATTGAAAATATAATGAAACTAACATTTGGCAAGAGTTCAATATATAGATTTAACTATGATCCAATATTTAACTCATCTTGACCTTAATTATTTCATAGTAATAGAACAAGCTAACTACTTTTTAATTTTGTAATTGAAAAAGAGTTATTGTCATTATGGAGTTTTAAATTGCATAGATAATAAAAGGTACGGTTATTCCACAACGATATCATTGACTTTCATTTGTGAAATTTGAAATCTCATGATAGTGATTAGTTTTCAAGATGAACCGAAAAGTAGCTATTTGTGTACTTACCCATCACTCTCCGTCCATGTATATCAATTAATTATTTATTAAGTCAATTCAAATTTATCTCGATCTGTTTATTTGACAAATTATAATCTATTGAAAATCCCGTATCACATCTTCCATTCGTTTCGAAACGTATTTTGATCATATGATAAATTTTATTGACTATTTCAATTAAGTGGTTAAACGTGATAATTGAAACAAATTTTAATTAGTTGACAGTTGTGACAAAAGAGAAAAATTGCTAAATGTATATTTCATATAACTATTCAAACAAAAACTAGTGATAGTGATGCACATGTGAGAGCTACAAAAACTAGCTTCTAGATCTCCTGCTAAAAATTATAACTATTCAAACAAAAGCCAAAACCAAATGATAATTGTACCTCCTGCGCAAAAGTACGGTTAAAACACACTGTATCAAAAATAATTTTTAATACTAATTAATTAATAATAATAGCTTGATTGCTATCAAATAGTATAGAGGTAATTAGTATTTTTTGCAAATGTTACTAAAGTTTATACCAATATTGAATGCGCTATGTCAATTAATAAATGTCGATGTATATTTTAACACTCTTTATTAAGCTCATTTTGTTATAGTGATAGAATGAATCGATTAGTTCCCTATACTTGTTTTTTAAAATGTCACAAGTAAATTCAAAATTTTGTGGACCTAGGTATAAAATTTTGGGTTCAACAACTTGTGATTGGTGAGATAAAAATAAGACTCACATCATTAATATCAGTTAAGTTAAAGTAAAAGTGTAATAAAATAAAAATATTCATTAGTTCTCTCCTATTAAAACACGAATGCACAAAAGTTAATCGATTAATTTTATTTAAGTTGTCCAGAAGTTAATTCAGAGAGACAGAGACGAAGGAGCCGCCTAAATTGCTTTTTTCAAGAAAAAAAAAATTGGTGTCAGACACCTACTAGCTTTGGAGCCTCACTTTGCATTGCGTAAAACTAGTTCGGATATTTTGGTAGAATGTATTACTCCTTCTTATTTTATGTGAGGTAGTTTGATTCGATATGAAATTTAAGAAAAAAAGAAAGATTTTAAAAATTTGTGGTCCAAAATAAATGATAGAAATTTGTGTGACTGTAAATCATTTCATTAATGATAAAATAGATATTTTATAGCTTAATTGTTACTTAATATAGAAATGTGTTATTCTTTTTAAGACTTACTAAAAAAGAAAGTAAGTCACATAAATTGGGACAAAGGGAGTAGAAAATTGGGAATAAGTTATTTTTAGATTAGTTACTTTGGAATTAGTTATTCGGGATGACTTATCCCATCACTATGATATAAATGACGGGATAAATTATTCCAAACACAGTAATCAAACAACATACCAAATTTTATCCTTTAGATTGATTTTTATCTCAGGACTATTTACTTTTATCCCTCGTGTGACCTCTAATATATTTATCAGTCATGATATTACTTAATTTTGTATTTTACACTTATATATAACTAATATAGGTATTGAACTATTAGTTATACACTATATTTAGTGATAATACATTCACTATTAATAATGGATATATAAGCATGGATAGAGATAAAAAAAATTCCTTAGTAATACATCAAATCAAATATTGGATAGAAAATGTTCTTAACATAGTTAATTTCAATATAATTTATATTAGCATTACTAAAATATCAATAAGAATCTATTCTTACACACTCTATTAAATGATCGTTTCAATAAAATATTTGCTACGGTCAAATTCAAAACTTCTGATTAGTTAAAGTACAAGATGGCAACTTGACACTTCTTACCTCCCCCACCTCTTTACAGCTCAAAGCAGTGGAAAAAGAAAAAAGTGGGAACATGAAAAAAGTATACATCCAAAGATGACTATCTTGAGTGACACAATTCACAGTCTAGTGATCTATATTTATTTACTTTCTCCATCGTAGTTAAAAATTTGAAGTCACAAAGTGATGATCATTTTCTTTTCTGGAACCTTTCAATTGATAGGTTACCTATACTCCTAATTCATGCATGCATGTTCCCTCTAGCACTAGAGAGGCTCTGATTCCTATACATAAAAGAATCTCCCCATACCCACAAATAATCATGCAAGGATAGCCTTTTCAAATTGTTTTCACTCATTCATAATTAAATAATGGGTACGAAAATAGTTTCTCTACCTCCATGAGGTAGAAGTAAGGTCTACATACACTTTATTCTTCTTAAATTCTTCTTGTGGAATTTCACCGGAAATGTTATTGTTGTTGTTGTTACACGCAAGAATCGGCTATTTACGCTAGAATTGGCTACAATTTAAACAACTTTGGGCTACAATTTAAATGTCTAAATATTGGTGTTTAATGAAATAACTTACTTACACTCATAATTGTGTGTATGAAACTAAAGACACGTATCATGCATTTATTGATTTTGTAAAAACACGGGATAGGCGGATACAAATACTTCTCTACCTTAAAATACTGGTATTAGTCCGGTTATGGGCCGTAGTTGTGAATGATGCCTTCCCATGGGCCCCCAAGCCCATTAAAGAGGGGAAAAGGCCTACTTTGGGCCGAACCAATCCAAGTCAGTAAAGTGAAGGAAGGCATGATAATGTGTACCTTAATGAAAAACTATAAAGTTTGTTTTGATGTGAAATTACAGAGTGCAGGTAACTTATTATCATGAAATGACATATGACAGTAATTATTGTAGAGTATTTACATCCATTTAGATTGCAAATGATAATACTTTTACATCAATGAGAGCATCACACATGATTCTCTATTCACAATTATATGGCAAATGGCGCTGCCTTTTTCTTGAAGCCATAACAAGAAATAAATCTAGAACATATCTTCCTATTCTCTCTAATTTATGTCCTCAAGAGCATAGGTATTATATTCAAGTCTAATCAATCATCTCAAATAGCTTTGAAATGGCTTAGATTAAATGAGTTTTTTTATTTGCAAGATTTGTCCAGCAGAAATTTTCAATTGTTAAGAAACAAAATCATGATTATATATAGTACTACTATATATGATCCTTATTTCGTTTTTCTGAGGAATGAACTGTAATTACTGTTGTCCATGTCCATATTGGGAGTACTTGATTCTCTTTACCTTACCTTGAAACAAAGAGGAGGGATAAATACAACAGAACAAATTGAAATCAAAATAGAGAAATTTTGACACAAAAATAAGAGAATGGGGTGAAGCAGCTGCCATAGAGAGTTGCAGTGCTGCGGTGGCTGTTGAGATTTAGGTTGGGACACGTTTCATTAGATATTAAAAAGACTAAAATGCCCATTAAATAAGAATTTAGTTATGATTTTTATTGTTTTCATGAATTTGTACCTCCTCAAATTAGAATTTAGTTATGATTTCTATTGTTTTATGAGTTGTACCAAAGTTTATACTTACCAATAAGTGCTTGCTTTATTTCATTCCTTCTATTCTAGTATGCTTGTTGGTAATGATTATGGTATTCATAGCCTTGCACTTCTTCTTTTTTCAAATGTTGATTTTGTTTTGCTGTTCTTGATCATCAAGTTTACCTCTCAAATCGTTTCATTCTTTTGTATCGTCGCTTAAAAGTTGAATGTCATCATCAAGTCTCTAATTAACTCACCCCTCGTATTGTTTCGTTCTCTCGTTCTTTTTTATCGTCACTTGAATGTCATTATCTCATTTCATTCTTTTTATTGTCACTTGAATGTCATCATCAAAATTTACTCGCCTCACATTTCGTTCTTTTGTATCGTCACTTGAATGTCATCATCAAGTCTGATTGACTCACCCCTCATATCGTTTCATTCTTTGTTATCGTCACTTGAATGTCATCATCAAGTCTGATTGATTGCCCCTCCTATCATTTCATACTTTTTTTATTTGTCACACTCCATCTCCCCCTTTTGCACTTCCCTTCCCTAAGTGAAGGTAGGAAAAAGGAAAGCTCACCTATTAATTACCATGTCATATTGTAAGATAAAATAAAATTACTCACAAGAGCAACCCTAGCTTTCTTGCAAGGTTTTGTAAAGAAGAAAAAACACTCAAATAAGAAACATACAAATCATAATTTTACAAGAATTTGTGCAAAACCAATGTAAGAAATTTCATTCATTTTTCTACACAATATAAAAATCAAACAAGAAATAAATTAGACTTAATTTTTTTTTTATCATTATCCACCATACTTGTTCCACATATCAACATAAAACCTCAAAGGCTTAGGCAAAGAAATCCTCCATTTCTCTAAATCAGGCAATCCACCAACAATAGCAACACTACTATCTTCTTGCTTTCTATTTCCAAGATTCAATACAAATACTTCACCTTCAAAAACCTTATTCATTGCCATTAATGTCTCTTCCATTATCATCTTCCCATCTTTTCTACTATCCTCTGGTTCTACACAACTCCCTCCAACATTCACCATTATCTTTCCTCCTTTCTTCAATTTCCCTTTCAATTTCTCCCATGTTTGTGGGTTCTGAAGCTCAGGTATCAAACGCCCTTTACTAAACAAATCAACTATCAACCCAGAATACCCATCTTTCACACTGGCATTCAGTGCATTGCTGATATAGATGAAAAGACGATCTGGGTATTGTTTTTCAACTTTCGAAAGCCCTAAATATTCTCTTCCAACTGAGATTACAGATGGGTCTAGCTCGTATCCATGGATAACACCTTGTGGGTACAATTCAAGAATCAATTTCGCAGCCGACCCGGCTCCGAACCCGAGAATTCCTAATGGACCAGGTGGTAAAATTGGGGGAAGAGTTGCTAGAACGTCGTAATAGGCGTTGGTGATTGATTTGAAGAGGAATGATATGCTGTGGATGTTTCCAGGTGCGTCGAGAAGAAGAAGCCGGGAACCAGCTAATGGGTGGTCGGCTCTTCTAGAAACTTCTAGAACCCGGATGTAATTGTGCCTGGACTTGAATTTGACAAGGGTTTTGATATGTTCAATGGGGATTCCATCATCATCTTCTTCTTCTTCTTGTTTTGTGGGAGTGATGTATTTGTGATTTGAAGCTTTGATTGGGTGAAATTTGAGAGTTATGGGGCTTTGACGCTTGTGGCGGATTTTGAAGATTGTCGGTAGTGAAGAAGGAAAGAGATGACATTGAAATGAGGGTTGGATTTGGATGGAGGTTTTGAAATTTTGTGCTGCCATGCTCATCTTCTTAAATGTTCAAGTGTTTGCAGAAAGAGAGCATGAGGAGAGGCAGGTTATAATAGTACAAGTAGATTTTACATTTTCTCAAGGCCAAAAAAGATGTCATTTTGGCGGAAATGATCTTGATATCAACTCAGTACAAATTGAATAGAAGAAAATAACGTTTTGAAAAGATAAAATGTCCACAACCTTACTTGTACCTTTGTGGTGTAGAAAATTTATTTTTGAATTAGTTTTTGGTTCAAACGAGGGATAAACAAGGCGACAATAAAATAACAAAATAAACAAAGCAAATGAAGAATAAGATACCATGTGAATATTAAATAATATTACTCAATAAGGAGAAGACGAGACTGACCACATGACTCTCCCAAACAAAGTGTGACAACACTCGGCTATCGACTTGCCTTCTATCTTAATCTACAACCTCCACACCTTTTTATCAAGGGTATGTCTTGTCTTAATCACCTCGCTTTAATTCTTCTTCGACCTACCTCTGCCCTACACCTCCTTACTGATGCAACAGTAGCCGCAAACCTTCTCTTCACATAGACAAATCATCTATCTCGATCTCTCATCTTGTCCGCTAAACAAGTCACTCCCACCTTACCCCATATAACTTCATTCCTAATCATATAACTCCTAATACACCCACACATTCATCATATCATTCCCATTGAATGTTCTTGACTGATCAACACTCTATCCCATGCAGCAAAACAGGTCTAAAACACAACTAATCACAAAGTACCACATAAGCGAGCCCCTATCCCCCCCCCCCCCCCATCACCACCGGAGCAACATCATCGCCAATCACTTGGAATTAGTTGCAAAGAACCTCGTTGCCTACATAATTAAGATACTAATAGCGACTAAATGATACCTGGAAGACTAATTAGCGATCAGCGCCCTCCATTTAAGGAACCAAAAAGATTAACAATAATCTTGTTCAAAGAAGAAATGAAACTATCACTGTCTCAAAAGTACATGGATAAATCCACAGAACTAGACAGATAACTCTTACAGAACACCGATAATATTTGTATGTTATCAGCAGTATCCATAAGAACAAAGTGTGCCCTGTCTGCTCTGTGGTGCACCGGTCCATTTACGAGCGACAGCATTGTGCCCTCACTCATCAATCACTAACCTATATCCAACTAACTACAATCTACTATGACAACTCATTTTTCTAGTTCCATTTTCAGCATAAGAGAGACATCAAAACAATTGCTCATGAGAGGCGAAAGGTCAAAACATCAAGGCTTGTTACTTCCGACCCAAAAATATTATCAGTCATTGCATTTTGAGAAGATGTAGAAGAGCTTTGAACTAGGGATGATCATCAACCATGTCATCTGCATTGGCTTGGTCGTCCACATCCCTGCATCACAAGCCACAGCACTTTAATCTTAAATATTCTACAAGGCTGGTCCCACAACAGTCATTTGCACATTGCAAGGTGCAAACCAGTAAGACTTAAAAAGTAACGACTTCCCAAAAATGTAAAGACACAAGCAGATATGCAGGTGTGCGTAGAAAACACACACATATATGGAACTTCACAAAGGTACTTGATGCAACTTGACCCCATACCTCATGTCAGATGATTCTACTGGAGTAAGATTACTATCTGAACTTCGCTGTCTAGGTTTCTCGTCTTCATCGGCATCAGACTCATAACCGTCACCATTCCATATCCGTGGTTTAGGCCTTCGATCCATATTTTCCTCTTTCTGCAATCAGTAGTTCTAGTATAAGATGGGGCTATACACTTAGAGATTTAATGATCAAGGTGCCACTAACCTCCTCTGGAACTTCTGTTGTAGAAGGAGTGGTTTGAAATGGCACACTAGGTGCATGAGGTAATTGTGAGATTTGCTCAAGCAATATGTTCCTGCAGCCACCAAGTAATTATGTCAGGTAACGTCTAAAGAATTGTCTTTCTCTATAGAAGAAAAAAGGAAAGAGGGGAACAATTGTCTGAGTTCAACAGTTGCTTGAAGAAGAATGTGAGGAACTTATGGATAGAGAGGAAATGTATGTCTCAGCATAATATTTCAAAAAAAATGTTTAAAGAGTAAATAGTTGTCCATCATTAACAAAAAATAAACAGAATCAACAAATATTCTTGCTGTCATACTAGTATAATTCTATGTTGCTCGGACTCTTCAAAAATGTCAATTGGTGCTTGTTGGATTCTCCAAAAGTAGTGTTTTGGAGAATCCGACACGGGTGCTGCATCGAAAGTGAAGAGTCCGTGCAACTTAGGTATAATCTAGTTACAGACTGAATAACAGAATTTGTCTCATATACACCACTGAGGCATCAATTTTATTTTTTTTGATAACCAGGGAAACCCGCAGCCGCTGCCCTTTGGGTGCAGATAGGGTAAAATATCCGCTCATATACAATAGCTCGCAAACCACACAGGAGAGGTAATCTGCACTAGGCAAGCCTGGTGCAACCAACTCAACCCAGAAGACAAACCCCTGCTTTCGCTGACAAGGGGTTTCGAACTTGAGCAACATGGAAGTCTCAAGCCCAAACTACTAGGCCACCCCTAAGGGTCCACTGAGGCATCAACTTGATGGACCAGTATCAGGGATAATCTACTATCAACTCTGTCTTCTCCAGATAAGGGATAATCTGATGGCGAAAGCCCACAAACTACAGGAAGTAGTACAATAGTAAAATTACCTCATCTTCTCCAGATCCCTAGGTGAATTTAGATTCTCCATGGGGTTTGGTTCAACATGAAGAGTATAATCTGGGCCAAAATATTCATAATACTCGTTGTAAGGCAACTTGTTTTCAGGTTCTACCCCAACTGCAACTGCTGTCTGCAACAAAGAAAAACAGTTGATACTTAGCACATATTCTAAACAAATAGTACAATAGTAGAGAATCTGAAATGCAGGCGCAAAGGAACAAGAGAGAGAGAGAGAAACCTCATAGCACCAGCACCTAGCGACATTTCTTATAGTATAACCTCCACCACCCAAAACCATCAGAGGGACATTGAAGGATCTGAGGTACCTAAGGCAAGCGGCATGGCCCTTGACAGACAAGTTGAAGCAACCCAACCTGTCTCCAGCCAGTGAATCAGCCCCACATTGAAGAACAACAGCATCAGGTTGGTAGACCTCCATGACTTTTTGTATTGTGGGACGAAATAGTCTACCGAAACTATCGTCATCCATCCCATCATGCAATGGGACATTTAGGGCATAGTACTTCCCCTGATTTGCACCAATGTCTTTGATGTGCCCCGTACCAGGAAAGAAGTCCCCAAACTTATGGAATGATACTGTCATGACTCTATCTGTGGTGAAAAAAGCCTCCTCAACACCATCACCATGGTGAATATCAATGTCTATGTACAACACACGCTGCAGAGCAACACTCAGCATTTCAGAGGAACAATAACTCAGAACAACCTCTAATCAAGGCAAAAAAAAGTGAATCAAAGGAAAAGATGCTGCAAAGCTATAGTTTATAATTGTATGCAACAGCGTTCAGCCGTTCACACTACAATCATTCAGATTCTATTATTAATATACTTGATCAGCAGAAAAATAATAAGTGATTAAGATTAACTAAGTTCCACTTCCTAGAAATCTTACATAGTAGTACTTAACCTAGTAAGTTGTAAGTAGTAGTAAAACGAGAGGAGTTCATAAGAAATATTGTGTACATAAAGTTGGAACTAGATTGCAACTTGAGTTTGAACATGTCAATAATTGTTTTGATTTGCTAAATGCTTCCATAGAGATGGAACAGATCTGTCCCACTACTACAAGGATAACAAGCAGGCATTTCCATATTTCTCCAGCATAGATTTGGCAAAATCAAAGTGAAGTTTATTAGCAAGCTTCCATACCTTCAATTACTCTTAAAGACAGAACATTTACCCCTTAACATCAAACTTCTCTGAATTTACACCAAACGCTACAAATCTGAACCAGCCAATCGACAAGGATATGAATCATGAGCATCATGCTTACCCTTAGCACACCCCACCCTCCACAAAATGGTTTTCCAGAAACTTATACACAAGGGCAGGACCACATACCATATTCACACTGAAATTTCTATTACTGAATGTAGAGAAGCAACAACAACATACCCCGTGTAATCCCACAAGTGAGTTCTAGGGAGGGTAGGGTGTGCCGTGTACGCATACCTTAATCCTACCTCACGGAGTAACTCACCAAATGTAGACAAGCAATAGAAAGTTAAAAGCACCTTTCCCTTATTAAGTACATGATGGTATCATCACTTCTATTCCATAGTTCAAGAAGCCGTCTAATCCCTCTCCCACCCCCCGAATAAGTTATCCCGCAATTTCATCTCAACGAAACATGGGATAAACTCATCCTAAATTAATCCAGGATTAGCTATCCCTCGTCTCTCCTACCAAGGAGCCCTAAGAAAATAAATATAGTGAAAGCAGAATGAAAAAGGTAACTATAGGAATAATAAGAATAATGTAGACGCATGTTAATCATCACAATATAAATGAAGCAACAAAATAGGTAGGCACATAAGAAAGGATAATACAATAATCTAAAAACTATTTCATTTCTCAATTATTACCCAATAAATAAGTACAAAGTAATGTACTTTCTATCCAGTTCCTCAAAAAAAAGTAATATACTTTCTATCCAAAAATTTATTTTCAAATTTAACAGCAAGTGAGATTTTTTTAACAATATATATATATATATATACACAACGAATACATCTTTATGAACAAGTGGTGCCCTAATATAAATTGGGAGCGAAGCCATTGCTTTAGTGGCCTTATGGTCGAGCAAGCCATGGCATGTACATTGTTATGAATCTATTCATGGCTTCAGTGGCCTTATGGTCGAGCAAGCCATGGCATGTACATTGTTATGAATCTATTCATGATGTAAACAGCGAAAATGAAAATATTAGCGTGTAAAAAGTTTATACCTTGTGGACTTTGAGGAGCTCAAGAATACCAAGAACAATATCATTCACATAGCAAAAACCAGAAGCTTCACTTTTCTTTGCATGGTGCAGACCACCAGCCCAGTTGATCGTTATA